TGCACCTGGAGTTCATGAAGGGCGGAACACCACGGCAAGTGATGTTGGACCAGTTTATTGCATGCGGGGGAAACAAAGCTTCTTGCGTACCATTAGACTCATTATGTATACATGTCTGTAACTTCCAAAAGATCATTCGTTCCTGCACAGCAAAGGAGCAGTTTGTGAAGAAGATCGAGTTCACTCGGCGCAAAATGAAAAAGAACACTCTAAAGGTAAAGGTGGGTTGGTATAGCAAGGACAACATGAAAAAGTTGCTCAACTGGAGTGCGAGTCTGGTCTGCACTTGTGGAGTGAGCAAACCACTATGTATTGTGTTCACACACTCTGAAGCACCTGGCCTTGTACCAAGGGAGCGCATCAAGGCTGCCGTTGACGAGTGCAACCAGAACCCCAAAGAGCTGGTTAGGTTTGGGGCTTAGTGTGATGGGTTCCTTTGCTTACACACACGAATGTCGTTCAATCAGCTGACTCGCTGTCGGCTTTGCAGGAGGGACAAGTACCAACGAAAGATCAGAGAGTACTGGATCGAGACGGGAACTGAAGGAACGTACGAGAAAGAAGACGAAGAAGAACTCAAAGAAGGATGGGCGGCCGAGGGCGAATGTGGGGATGACTTCCACATGGGTGGAACCAGCAAGGGCCCGCTTGGTGCTGTGTCCGACGACGAGCAGGATTCCGAATCGGAGGAGGAAGACAAGAAGAGTCGCCCAAAGGGCACCAGAAAGCCCAGCCAAAAAAAAAACGATTTGGAGGAAGAGGCGGCCTTGGAGGTGGGTCGGGTCACACTCTTGTTTTAAGTTTCATATCATGCAGATTCTGTTGTGAGATGCAATGCATGCATGAACTATTGTTCGATCTTATGTAAACATGGATACTGAAATTGTTCCGAGGAAACATGCAAGACATGTACAGCTTTTGCTCGTTCCGGGTCCGACTTCATGTGTGGATGCTTTCTGTGCCCGGCCTCGATCCAGTGCTCGCACAGGCCGTCGAGAACGTGGGCAACGTCATGAGCAACATCCTGCGGACGCAGGCCAAGCTTGATCAGACCTCCGAGAAGCTAGGTGCCTTGGCAACCGAGGATGCCGACAAGCCCCTTGATCTAATTAGGGGTCTCCACGTGTCCCTCTGTTCCTTGTGTTTGTTACGTACCTCTTGGGTGCCTCGACTTGTGGTATTTCATGAAGCTCGCTGTCTGCAGGTCATTCAGGGCCCAGAAGGAGATCAAGAACCACCGCAACAGCATCATGTCCCTGCATGACAAGATGGCCGACTTGAAGTCATACTTTGATGGCAAAGGAGACATGACTCCAGAGACTCTCAACAGCAATGACCCCCGAATTTAGATTTCCACTCGAGTCTCAATCCGACTGTTGTGATTTTGTGATACGAAGTCTAACCTGGCTGTGCTTGGCATGTGCTTACTCGGTGCAAAACATATGTTACCCGAACCCCCCATCGAACCCTGTGTCCACAAGGAAGATCAAGGAGCTGAAGAAAATGGTTCAGCAGGTGGAGACGGCGCCCGGCAACCTAGTGCATGCAGGTTCTTTACGAGATCTGTTTACACGTGCAATAAGAAATGATTCTATAGTGCAATCCAGTCTGCAGTGAGGTGTTCCAGAGCAGCCATGGAAGATGTGAAGCTGAAGAAGTGCCTAGCTTCAACTATATCCTCGTGTAGTCTGTGCACAGCTTTCGATCCTGCTCTGCTTCTCTCAGCCGGCCTTGTCAAGGACTTTGCTTCGCTGCAAGAAGGAGGCACACACCTGTGGGGCAGCAGTTTGTGCATTCTAGACACATGTACCGATGCTTCAGCCGTGCAGGAAGGCACTGCTCCGACGGGTGCCAAGGGGGCAAAGGCGGGCTCGGGAAAGGCAAAGGTGGCGCGAAGGGCAAGAAGCGGAACTGAGGACTCTACAGCTGCAGTCGTTTGTTACTTTAAGACAAAAGAAAGGTCTAGTAGCAGTACTAGCAGCAGCATTGGTCAGGACACGGCTGGCCTGGCCTGGCGATTGTCTTCATGAAGATCGGATCCATGTTCCTGCACTTGATTCTGTTTTGGGGGGCCGAGTTCAACTTACACACATGCAGTGTCAGGCTTTGAGCAATATAGATACACATGTGCCACGGCACATCGACGGGCTCTTGGGCAGGACTTTTGAGTGCACCCTGCACTCTTTTGAAGTGCGTGCTTGCTAGGGTCAGCTGGAACTGCCAGCTGCATTTCGCCTCTACCGAGATCTGATGTGTGCATTCTGCAGAAAATAGATATGTCACTGCTGGATGAGTGTCAATGAAACCTGTGAGTGCTATAATTACCAAAGCAGCTTCGAGCCTATCCTCCGATCACCTTTCTAAATGCCAGCTGTCCTCGCCCATCGCAGAAGCGCCGTCGGCTCCATCGGCGAAGCAGCGAACAGGTCCTGCCGCACAAGCTATTGCAAGGGCCGTCGTTAAGGGAGCCACGTGGAGCATTAGACACGGTTTCGGTGGGTTTCGCAATTTTATTCGGAGTGTTGCGGTACGGCTGTAGTAGTATACGGCTTCATGTTTTCAAATACCATGAGTTCAGTTTCTGATTGCATATATACCTTGTAAATCTGTAGACAGCCAAGGTGAGTGAGCGCGAAGCTTGTTCAATGGTAGCTGCGATTTGGGGAGAAATTCGGCACCTTCGGGGGGTGACTGACATTCCGAGTGCTACGCTCCTGCAAGATGCACAGCGCCTGGCAGCAACCTCTCATGAATGCCGTTTGGGGACCACTATGGAAGAGCATGGGCTTTCTGCTAAGATACCATTGAGTTATGTTGACATATCAATGCCACACCCTCATCCTGTTCTCAGTGTTCGGGACTTTGTTGAAGGGCTGTCGGTGGAACAGCAGACGGACAGACTGTTTTGTGGTTTCGACGAGACGGACTTTGCCGAATTCTGGGCAAAGTTCAAGACTAGCCAACCGGACCATCCTGTGTTCACGAAGCATCGCAAGCATTTGGGACGAGTGATCCCTATATGGGGTCATGCTGATGAGGGCACATCACAGAAAAAGCGGGCGATAATGATCATACAGTGGCAACCCCTCCTAGGCCACGGGACCTCCAGGGGCGGCAAAGGTCTGAATTATGTGGGCTCCAGTGTGACCACTCGCTTCCTTTTTTCTGTGATGGTTGGCAAGTTGTACAACAGCAAACTTCAACGGAGGCGGAAACGGCTGACAGATTTGGTGAGTTGCTTTGCCAAAGACGTGGCCTCCTGCTTTGAGACTCCCCTACGGGTACAACATGAGGGCGAGCACAAGGAAGTGTTCCTATGTATGATCGGTCTGAAAGGAGATTGGCCGGCTTTGATCAAGCTCGGCGAGCTTCGACGTCACCACCTCAGAAACACTTGGGCCCACCCGGATGGTGATGGCATATGTCACCTCTGCAACGGTGGCCGATCAGGCCACCAATGGCACGATGTGAGCTATGAGAACATGCTCAAGATGAGAGAAGATGTGAATCCCCCCTGGATCAGACCGCCACCCTTGATTTCAATTTTGCCTCACAGCCCTTCACACTTGGCCGACTTTTTTCGCAGAGACGTCTTTCACAACTTTCATAAAGGTTTGTTGGCTGATGCAGCTGCCAATGCGGTGGAAGCTTGGTCTTGTCAATGTGCATACATGTTATTTAAAGTAGTTATAACTGTAGGAAGCTGGCCTTGTAACTATAGTCGTCACCCCTGTCTGTAGATGGCTTTCTACGACTACCAGCTTTTCGGGGCCGACTCTATGGACAAGATGACAAGGATTGTTTTCGATGATCTTCGCACATTCTGCCGGACCAGGGGCCTGGAGCTCCACATGAATGCGCTAACCACGAATGCGCTGGGACTTTCAAGGAGCACCGACTATCCAACCGGGTTGCTTGGCTTAGCTACCTTAAGAATACTTAAAGAGAATGTTTCGCACCAGTCCCAAAATTGAGTTTGGTTTGTTTGTTCTGGGTACTACGACAGCCTACAAGAAAGCAACTATTAACCCAACAAAAATGGTAAGGTCTTGGTTCAAGGGCAATGATACAACGAGCTTGTGTATCTACTTCCAACACAAGCTACCGCAGATGATAGCTGCAGCCGATGCTCTGGGGAAGCCGTATCTTCGAGAGATGCACAGGCTGTTCTGTCACGCCAACAAGTTCATGGGGAAGCTTTACAACTGCAACCTCTGGATCAACAAGTCGCCTCGACATGTGCTTATGAATGCTGGTTCAGGCATGCTCGAATGCTTTAAACGATGTGCTCAACTTGCATTCGACCAAGATCCTTTGTCGTTTCAAGCTACGACCGAAATTCCACATGGCCGGGGAATTGGTTTTTGCTTTCCAGACCGACGATCTGGAGGATCGGGACACGCTCAACCCACTCAGCTATGCAACCCAAGTTGACGAAGACTTTGTGGGGCAAATCGCTACGATGTCCCGCCACGTTAGTGCGCGGACTGTACACAGTCGAACGCTGAGGCGTTATTTATTGGCTCTCAAGGCTTCTTGGGGTCGATGATGCTTATGCAGGCACTTGCTCCCTCGGTCCTTTTCTGCATTCCAGACCAATCGTGGAACATCCGGATGCGCTGAAAACACTGGGAGCTTCAATTTTGTTGGGGTTGCATATTAAGCATGCGCTACATTCTGCTACATATATTCCAGAATGCCACTGATGTGGGTGTTGCTTTCTTACACAAGGCAAACATTTGTGACAACATGGGGCAAATATGGTGATTCATGTTGAGCCACATAGCAAGGTGCCCCAAGCATCACCCAAACCTGATGCAAACCTAAAACCATCACTTTAGCCAGTGGCTGAAACCACCCTCAATAATTGTCACTTCGGCTAGTTGCTATCAATCTATGTACACTAGGTCTTTCAGGTAGAGCTTGGGGGTTAGCGTTTAAGCTTGATGTCGGAGCTTGGGTGTCGTGCTCCGGGAGAGTCTGGAGTGTCGGAACTCAAGGATGGATGCAATTCTTGGAGCCCTGCGCGCCGCCGGCCCCGCCTCTGCAGCCAGCGCCGGCGCGTGCCTCTGCAGGCTCGTTTTTGCTGGGCTGGTCTGGGGTTTGCACGATTTTGATTAGAGGGTTCGGCCTAGTTACGTTTTTCAGGGGAGCCTTCATTGCGGGAAGTGTGCCTGGCCTTGTGAGCCTTAGCCGGTGTGGACCAGCGGCTTCAGCTTGGGGCTCTCGGGTTTAATGTGAGGAAGCCGCTGTTGGGGGGGGCATTTGGGGCGAAATTGGCAGGGTGTCTCTCATGAAAGGCTTTTGTAGATAGTTCAATGTATCCTTCGATGTTGGAGCCTCTGTACCGATCGCTTCGACGAGGCTCGTCTGCTTCTGCACTGCAAACTGGAGGCTTGCGCCAGGCGGGAGATAAAGAAAGACTTGTCGAGTGAGACGGAGAGGGCGAGGCGGAGAGACAGAGACAAGTTTAGTACCGGGTTTGTTTTTGATATGCTTTCGGTCAGGTGCCTCAAAACGTCACACGAGCGAGCCACAGACGGAAGTTGCATCAACTGAAGGCCTTGGTGTTTCCACACGACCCTCCACTGCCCGTGCCATTCATGATTGTTGAAATGTGTTTTTGGGAAATAACAATCCTCAGGCCAAACGCCCCCAGAGGACTGCGTTGAAGTTTCACCGCTCGCTTCTAGCAATCTAGCCTGGTGCGATGGTATGTAGGAGCTTAGTTGAACCCACTATAATTAGCAAAGCATCACATGCTGTGGCTTCAGATGCTGCAAGACGCTCCGCGTGAGTTGCGCTGCGCGCTGGCCCCTGGGCCAACACAGACTCCAGAACGACTTCTTTCGTTGACCAGCTTTTTTACATTTCTTCCTTGTTTCTTGTTCAGCTGATAATTCTTGGCTCCGAGAGTTGTCTTTTAAAAGCTTGAGTACGAGCCCCAGCGGTTTGCATGGGTGCATACCACATGATTTCCGACAAACTTCAGCCTGAAGACCTTGCAGGTTAGAAAGCTGGACTCAGATATTCCCCTTCCTGAGGATGGGAGGCTGATGATGGATCCGGTGAGGGCCCCGATCGGCTTCTTGCAACATGGCCGAAAATGAGTTGAGGGTGTAGGGCCGGATAGGCTGTACTGTAGGGCGGATGTTGGGGTCCTGCATAAGCTTTGGAGCCTTTAACGCAAAAAACCCGCAATTAATCCGCACGTCGGTTTCAGTTCATAGTGGAAGCGGGTACAGCCATGGACTTGGAGGCTGGAAGCCTGAAGCAGTGCCCGTTCCCGGCTGTTTGGACAGAATGCTTAGCCCACTACGCTTCTTGCACCAAGTGCGGCAGTCACATACACTCTCCGACGAGCCTTCATTGGGCCGTTACCAGGAGCTTAAAGAAATTCAACGCTTTAGCCGGACCTACCTCAATGGTTGGTTTGAGCGAACGTTTGCAAGTGTCTATGTTGATTGCTGCGGGCAGGACTCTTTTTTATTCGCACGGTGGGGGCGTGTGGTGTCAGATCGAAGGTTATGGTTTCGGGGTTCCTCACATGCTGACCTTGTGACTCAGCCGCGGCTTCAACATGCACACCCAATCCCAAAGACAGCCAAGGTACGAGCGAAGTGTGCTTGCAGAGCACCTGGCCCGCAGCGGTGGCTTGTGCCCACTGACAGGGAAAGCCGCCCGGATGGCTGAGGATAGTGTCGGTTTACTGTAAGGGAAGGCTTCGGAGCTGCAATATTCCAGGATCTGAGCTGGTAGGATTGGAGGTTGTAGATGCAGCTCTGGGTTAGGCGGATCTGACGTTTTGTCGATTGCTTTCCTGCGCTTCTTTGCGGTCGGGGGCAAGCATGAACTCTCCGTAGGCGGTGGGTCTTCTGAACGGTTAACTCGAGGCAGAAGTCCTTCCAGGCTTCTTGCTTATTCGAAAAGCTTCAAGTTATACAGACAAAGCTTCCACTTGTAATTCCGAAGTGCAAAATCGTTTCCTCGGCTCAAGGTGCTTACCCTGGAGAGTTGCCCTCGCGACGCAGAGACGCGACGAAAGGCTGACAGGGGATTCGCTGTTCATCGATACAAGGCATTGTCCTAGACTGGTTTTTGCAAGGGCATATTGGTTTTGGTGATCACTCCGAAGTTGTGTCTGCATTCGGACTGATTCTCTGTTTCTACTCTTCCCAGGCAAACATGGAAGTCGCAACGTGCTCCGTTCTCGAAAAGAAAGCATGCCTCCGAAGCCAGCGGAAAGAACGCCGGCCACGTACGCAGGTGCAGCGATGGATTCGTGAGCCCCGCGGCTGGCACGTACCCGTTCATCCCGCGGGATTTCGGTGTATGAATATGTCGTTTTGAATTGGGCTTCTCCTCCGTTGGAGCTGTTTGTTTGACCTTGTGTGGGGGCATTTTGGTGCGCTCAGAAACCCATCAAAGCCTTCTGCTTGAAAGATGAGGGCACCCATGGCTGCGCCAGAAGTGGATTATTTTCGGATCCTTGTATGTCAAGTCCGGGATGGAACCTGTATATAGTCGCTAGGAACCGGTAGTGTACTATAGATATACATAGCCTGCGTGAGTTCCCTAATTACGTTAAGTCGTCAACCGAATCCCCAGGGAACGGACCACTCAGACGGTTCAGCCATTCAAAGGTTGTATGGATTTGATAGTATAAATTTCCCACAGTCACAGCTGACAGGCGAAAAACCCGATCAGGCCTAAACCCTCTTTGCTTCGGCTTCTACCAGGCACAAGGCCTCCACGGCACCCTCACGGCGTCGTGCCAAGTTGTCGAAGCCAGCGGCGCAGGACTCTGCGCGGTTGTTTTTTGATCGCGTAGTGGCTAAGGTTTGTCTGTGCTGTTCTCTCTCCATCGTCTTGAGACTGCGCATCCCCACTTGCCTCGGCCATGGCTATAGGTTCACTGCCCGTCTCCATCACGCTTAATACTAAAATCTCAATGCACTCAAGTACGAATGTTTGTTGCAAAGGCCTTCTGGCAACTTGCGTATCAAACATGTGTGCCCCGTGCCAAGACGCCAGGTTCAGGAAGCCACAGCGCCTAACTACAGCACCTTCTTCGGCGAGTAGGAAGGCCTCGACCACCCCCAGGCTCGGACATTGCAAGCTTCTTTCTGGGACTTACATGGCATTGGGACTTCGGAGCTGCGTAAAATATAGAAACTGACACCCGGATCCTAATCAATCGAGAGGGAGCAACATTGAAATCACCCTGGGGCATCCTCGAAAACTTGATTGAGTGTGTAATGACTGAAGTGCAGACTTTGCAAGGACTAGGCTCTGCGAGCAGCTCTCTGTTCACACTAAAGCCGAGCAAGGTCCGTGACACGAGCATTGAAGCATTGAGGGTTTTCTGGTTCGTGCAGGCCCAGGCCGGTCCATTCTTTCGGGCCATTTTCTGGCATGAGATGTTCATGACAGTTCATGATCTTGATTTGGAAGGCTGAGTTGACCAGGGGTCATTTCCAAAATTATGACATGTTTTTTGCAGTTCGTGTGTGCGTGTGTGTGTGTGTGCGCTAGTGCAATCGAATGCAAGCGATGCTGTTGTTGCGCATGTCATCATTGGTGCGTGCGCTATCGCTATCGCTGAGAAGGACTGCCTGTTGTGCATTTCGATATTATATGACATGTCAATGTACCTATCAGACTGTCGTCAGTCACGGCCCAGGTGACCGTCGATGCCTCATGTTTTTTCATCGAGCTTTTAATGCCTCAGCTACATCTCACCGACCACGGCACAAAGCTTTGCCCTTGGTTCATGGTTTCACTTTCAGCCGCCACCGAAGGACGGGAGAAAGGCCCCCAGGAGCGGTGGTTGAGGAAGTGCAGGCCCAGCTTCCGGTAGTAGATGAATCCTTGCCCGAGGGTTCTCTAGAGCAGCCGCAGCATCTCCCCATTGGCATTTCTCCGACATCAGGCGAATTGAGCCAACTGTTCACATGGCATGTGCGAAGATACAGAAGTGACTCCAGGAACTTCGCTAGACGGCGCGAACAGCACTTCCTTCACCGTTTGGCAGTCTACTGCACGGCTCCTTGTTGAAGGAGGATCGGCCAGGAGAAGATACTCGTACGATTTGTAAATGTATGATGTATAAGACCTGGAGGAGCTCTTCGACAGAGCTCCAGAGGTGCATAGGTCAGCTTTTAGCCACCAGCGATGATCCGAAGATAGCGCTGCTCGTGCAATGGCCAGTGCCGACCCTGGCTTCTACGACGAAATCTGGGACACAAGACAGGACCCTGAAAGAAGCCTTGAACCCGAAATAAGCGCAACAGCCCTGAGAGTGAATATGAACATGCCTGATTATTTTGGCTCCCTCATCTGGCTTGACAAACTTGAGCAAATCTCATGTCACCAAGTTGACGGCACCTAAAATGTTATATAAAGGACGCGATGTTGAAAGTACTTTGAAGACTCTGGGCACAACCAAAACCGATTACGTTGCGTGAACTATAAGAGCTCCAAGAATTTCCAACATCACTGTCCTCTTCAAGGACTTCATAGTTCTAGTACACCCTCACTCCCTGGGATGTCTTAGGGCGCGCCAGGAAGAAGCGAACGAAGTCGTCGAAGGCTTGCGGTTGCTCACGAGTTGTCGTGAAATTAAGCAAGACGACAACACCAACCAAGCAATAGCAGCTAAAGATGTGGTGCTGAACGAGAGCCTGTAGAAAAAGCTTGTTAGGCCGGGATGGGGGAAGGAGCTGTGAATGCAACTCGAGGAATTAGGAAAGCATTCGGGCTACCGTGCTTAGGAAGGGAGCTTGTGGGACGCATGCTGTGACAACTTCAGAAGGGTGTACAGACACGGAGCTCCAATGAACGGAGGGCCTTTGAAGGGAAGCCATGCAAGAGACGGCGATGGTTCCGAAATCCACATTCGTTTCCTGCAGTCCTCAGCAGCACTCGGAAAGTCTTTCAGGTGCTCGGCATGAGAAGGCTAGATCAGGAACAGTGTGTCGTGTTCGGCATGCCCGTGCTCAATCCATGCCCTTGCTCACCGGTAAACATACCAAGGCTCAGGCGTACGTATGCAGGTATTCAGAAGCTGGGTTGCATCGTGCTCAGAAACATGAGAGAGTTAGTACCTTGTCGTGATGCAATTTCACCAATTCTCATGTGTTTTCCCCCTGCAAGGCATTTACTTGGGCTCGGTGCTCGCATCGAAAGATGCGAAGGCTCTCGAGAGATGGAGCATCACGCAGCCTGTTTGCACTGCAACTGCCCCGTACGGGCGGGTCTACGTGTGCGTGTGTGTGTGTGTGTGTGTGGGTGGGTGTGAGCTCAAAGGTTGTTTTGTCCTGGCGAGAAAAATCTCCTCCTCTCAGTACGACAAGACTCGTCTGAGCGCGTGTTTGAGCAATATATAGCAAAGACCACAACATCCGGGGAACTCGGCTGTTAGGTGCACCCAGGCTGCCAGGGTAATTGGCCGCAACGAAGAAGTAGCAAAGACCACACCTGGCCTCAAGGCTGCAGGACAAGCTCCGCCCCTGTCCAGAATTCCTAGTCTTAAAGCCTCCTCAGATAGCCGCCAGCTTTGGCAATCCAGTCTTGTTGCTGCGGCGAACCTATCCTACGATCTATAGGGTGTGGTTTCATCAACCTGTTTTGCTTGCAAGTTTTTGTTAACGTCCTATCGACTGTCGAGGCGTTGGGCTCAAGAAGTGCATATGTGGAATGTAGCCACCAAGCGCAGGAGTGCATCGTCGTGCCTTCAGTTTGGGAGCAAGGACAAATTTCACAAACAAGTTGTGTTTTTTATGATTTGGCCTGCTCTTTGTCCGGGCCCTTGAGCTTGGCCCAAAAAAGTTCTTCCTTCCAGAAGCCGACATGATTCTGTCTGTAGCCCGAAGTCTCGGACCCTTGAACTTGAAGATCATGGAAAGTGCTAAAGCCTCAGAAGCCCACGACCTGAAGCCAATGTCGGAGCTGTTGGATGTGCTGGATGACGCCGGTGTCCTGGACAGGGATACAAGGCTCGAGCTGCACTCCCACGAAGCTTAGCAGACCAGGGTTCCGAACAACAAGTCTGGCGACAACAAGGATCCTGGAACAGGGATTCCAATATAGAATTTGGGCAAGTCTCTGGGTGCTACAAGCATCATGCCGCATGAAGGTTGGGAGCGCACAAGCTCTCTTCAGCCTCTCACCTGTCAGTTTTCAGACCGCAGGGCAGAATGCATGAGGGTGTATGAAATGGAGCTCTGTATGCCTGTCTCTGTATTGATCTGTGGACTTGAGTTACGTAAAGCTTTGTTTATGCACAGCGCACGTGGAATTGTGTGCTTTGTGCATTTATTTGCTTATGTGTTTGCGTGTGTTTGCGTGTCTTTTAAGCTTTGCTGTGTAGCTTTCTGTGCTTCCTCTCCTAGTTTTCAACATGGTTGGTGATTCTTCTCGGCAGCTGCGGGATTGTATTCATCCGTCAATATAGTGCGCCTGCGACGTGGTTGCAGAGACACCACGATCCCGCACAGCCGAACCAGTTGCACATCATGAAATACAGGTCGAGAGTTACAGGTGTAACAATCAGCACCTCCGTAAACTTGCAGGCTTTTCCTCGTTGAGGCCTTGTGCAATGCGGAGGCCGGAGCGGTTGTCGATGGGACAAGAGGAAGCCTAAAGTGAAGGAGTCAGAGACACGAAGCGAACGGGTTGTAACAGGGCTGGCTCCTGAGCTTCGGACAGAGGCGCACCACTGAAGTCTTGCTAAGCTGTCTTCTCCGATCCCCGATAATGAGTCTTGGCGCTAAAGACCAAGTTGTGGAGGCGGAGGACTTCGCAGATATACTGGAGCCCTTTGCACCAGGCTGCGGTCGAGTGTTGGCTTTCGGACTGCTTCAGGTTGCAGTAAGTTGCCTGCAAGCTGTCATGGCATCAAACTTGGTGTCGTAGCTGTTGAGGTGGCTGAGGCCTGAACGCATCTAGCAACAACTGCTGTCAACACACCAGCAGCCACCGCCACCGCCCCGCTCCCCACCACCGCAGCAGCCTCGGTTGGTGGTGGTGCCGCTTTCGGGGCGAACGCTGCCATGGCAACGACAACGACAACACCAGCCATCACAACGATGTGTGATAGTATAGTGGTGATGATGGATGAGGACGATCAGAGCCATGCTTGGACGGGCAACAATGACGCAGGCAAGCATGGGAAACGTGACGCTGACCATGCCGTCGGCGATTATGTTTGGATGGCGACGGTTGCGAGTATGGGGGTGACAATGCTGTTCTTGTGATGCTGGCTGTGATAGCAGAACGGTATATGAAGAAGATATTGTTGACTAACACGACGAATCTTGCTTCTCTTCTGGCCATGGCGACGGAGACGATGAAAATCCCGGGCACCCTTGAATCAGCATCAGGGGTATTGCCTGCGACAGAGCTTGCAGACCTCGCCAGACCCTGCTTCGTTTGCCCGGGGCCCTGCCACCAGGCTTCGTGGAGCCATGCTTGACGGCCCTCAAAGTGCAGCACGGCATGGTTTAGTCTCAAGGGTTGTGTGTTCCGCGGTTTTGGCCTTGGCAGTCCAGTCTGCAACCGCAGTTCATGCCGGAGAACCTCCAGGCAATAAGGATGTCAATCAAGTTAGCTTGGTAACACTGACTGCTAGTGAAATTTACAGCCAACCTGGCGCAGACCATTCATCGCGCATGAGAGAATCGGCTTGAAGTTCCATGCCATCATGCAGACAGCAGCAGTACATGGGATGCTGTTACAAGTCTTACAAACAAGCGAGAACGCGGCGATCGCAAGATCACCCAAGTGTCCTCGTCAAAGACCCAATTCCCCAAGAGCCTGAATGCCCCGCCTGACAATCCCTTTCTTCTTTCGCATGCAAAAACTGAAAGGCCCGGAGTGTTGTCAAGGAGTTGGAAGGCGTTGCAGAAGGAACACCTGGTTTCAGGGCTGCAAGGGTGAATTCCCTCGTAAGGTCTATTTCGCACTTATGTATTCAAGATCGGGTTGGGCCGTGGGTCCTGCATGCGAGACTGAGAGTTGAGATGTCGCGATATGGTCTTCAGAAATATTGCCTTTGTGCCCCCGGATTCCACTAGCAGAATAAGAAGCCCCCCCATGTTGATGCAGCTTCTGGATTCAGCTTTATTGTCGGAGGTTTAGCGCTACTCACTTCCAGCACAGATATAGGTTCGACTCGTTCGACATTTCATGACATGTCTAGTGCGGACCGCATGGGTGCATTCGTGGGAAGCTGCTCACTTTCATTTCGTTTGCGTATCTGATGAATCAAGAAGGCATGCCGCCTCAGTCCTCGGCCATGGTAAACAAGACCAGCTGATAACACGCAACGGATTCGGGATGTGACGTGCGGAAGCTCTGACTCTCGCGCGCATTTGCAGGAGGAGCGGATCGAAGAGGAGAAGATGTCGCCGCTGGCCGTAGTATTCTTGCAGGTGCCTGTGTCGGGCGTAATCAGACCAGGAAGCACGGTCGCCAGGTCTGCAAGTTTGCCTAGAAGTCAGCATGCCGGAGGGTGTGCGCAGTAAGACCTGAGCACCAGCCTGATCTGACTTCCGTCTGCACAAGAAGCAAGCGCAGCACTGCTGCAGGTGCTCGGGCAGGGCGTCCTGGAGGCTGCACAGCTTTGTCACGAAACCCTAATCCGGAGCTCCTAACCCCCAAAACCCAACTCAACCCGACACCCTTAGGCCAAGACCCTGCAAAAGAACAGCAGCTTGAAAGTTTATGCTTCGGACTTCGGAGCTCTATGACCCGACATGCCGTAAGCCGTCAGCTATATGAATGTTAGCCCGGGCTTGGCCAAATTTTTGGGCATAAGAACATTATAGTAATGCAAATTGAAACCTTAAGGGTTTAACCCTAGACTTTGAGGCCCTTTGGACCATTCGAAGGCATCTGGCCTCCACACCGTGTCTCGCTGCGCGCGGCTTTGCCGCAGCGCTCGGGATGCCGCAGCACAGGCCTGGTCGTAAGGGTTTCGGCGTGTGTAAAATATAAGTTAAATAGTTTAAAGAATTTATAATACATCTTCTACCTTACACCCTTCTTGAGGGAGGGAGGGAGATATGTGGAGCAGAGGCCAGACATTCCCAAACCGCTCAGCCCCGCAACCTCGAAAGCGCTTGCTTGGCACTGGATCAGGCCACCTGAAGGCACTACTCCTGCGTCGGAAATCCGATTTTCCAAGCTCCGCACACCATTTTGACTGTTTCTGTGCCAGGGGGACCTTTGGCAGCACCATGTTCAGCACACCACGGCTTTGTGGTCACTGCCGAGGTGCGAGCTTCCAAAGTTGCCACTCTACACCTGCAGAACTTGCAAGAAGTTTTGGGTGTGGCATGTCTATCACTTGGAGGTAGAGGAGTGGGCTTTTCGGGGGTAGCTCATGACCCATCTTGCAAGCTTGAAATGAGCCAGAAGTTGACAGGCCCCAAGCTGGAAGCGACCCGTGGACCTTCTAAATTCTGAGTCGCCAAGCTCAAATCCGTATAGCCTGTAGCCTATCTGGCCTATAAGCCCTCCCCGACTCTACAGCCCAAACCCCATATGATTACATAACATCCTTCTAGTGCTCCTCAAAGCAGGCCTGACCTGAAGGGTCAAGAGACATGGCGCCAGCACTACCTTGCCGTCTTGTGCCTTGCCAACCTTTTCAAGAACCGACTTAGCAGGCCGAAACGGAAACGTCGACTAGACTACGATTCTGGGATACGTTAATGGTGTAGGGAATGCAACCATTTTAACTGGTGTTGTTGGTTAGGATTGAAATTCAGGACTCTGTTCTATTCTATTCAACATCAAAGGCCCTTGACTCACAAACTGCCCTTGACATCGGCCCTCTAGAGTTGGGGTTCCGTTTTGGTTTGAAGGGTCCTTAGTAGGACCATGCGCTCTGGCCTTGGCATTTTTTAGATTGGGTGAGTTAGCGAGCTGAGAATCTACATATCGGGACCTCAGGCTAGTTTTCAAGCAGTTCAGCCGAGCTTGGCTGTCAGCGGTTTGATGAGAAGTTGTGGACGTATCGATTGGTTCATGCGTTGGAGGTCCCGACTCGGGGCACATCGACTTTGTTCGGTTAGCAGTAAAAGTGTTCGCCGAGGAAACATCACTGAATCACCCGGAGAACGATAAAACATCCGACGCCCGACATGTCGACATCCCGTATTGGTTGTTCTGCACTCTCCCTAGGCGGCCGCGCTTGGATGGCATTTACGTCGG